GGTTTTGATCCTACGGCATGTACTGGCTTTGTGGGAGCCTAGGCAATTTGGATGCTCACCTTTCTAGACTTGGATGGAGGTGGGGGTTCCTTGGACTTCCCACAGTGCAGGGAACCCTGATTGCTCTTTGGGCTGATGAGGGACAGGGACTTGATTGGGGGAGGGGGAGGGAAAATGGGAGGCGGTGGCGGGGAAGAGACAGAAATCTTAAATAAATAAATTAAAAAAAAAAGAATTTCTCTGAGAAAACAGGTTTCCTTGCTGGCATACTTTAATCACAGTAAAGTAGCACATAGATATTGACTGGGCTTAACCCAGAGAAGTAGAAGAAATGAGGAGCTCTTAATTCCAGTAGTTTTTTTTTTCTTCCCAAAGAGGATGCAATTTCTACCTTGGACCCAGAAGGCAGTGACACAGAAGGTTACCATTTGGTTGCAATTTATATTTTCATTCAGCATGTAGTGTTTACAAAATACGGGAAAGAAAACGGGAACGGCAACAAAAAAGAAAAGGTTTGTAGTTAAGACTTACCTCAGCTATCTTAATTTCCAGTCTAAGCACTGACTTCATGTCATGTTCAGCTCGAGAGCTATTAGCTCCTAAAAGCACCGCAGTGTCCACCATGAACTTATAAAGGGCATCCCGATACTGTAAGAGATAAAGAAGCAAGTGGCCATGACAACAGCCTGCTAGGAAGTACGTTTCAGAGATATGGAAGCGCCGAAACAGTAGGTGGCAATAAGCTTCCTTCATGTTCACTCTGTATCGGAGTATGATACCAGTATTATGCAATGACAGTCACCTACCTGCCACTCTGAGAGAAAAAATAAGTGATGAGTGCACAGGTACTATTTCTGTGACAGATAGAGTTGCCCAGGCATCAAACAGCAAGCAAACTAGCTTTCTGGCAACTGGTGATATTATGGATAAAAGAAACATCTCCAAATGAGTCCAGAATAGAAATGTAAAGGTCGGGTGTCTCCTTCCCAGGCAAGCGATGCTTTAGTAGAGGAATGGGAACGAAGTGAGTCTAAAAGCAGAGGACCTGACCCATGAACACTAACGCAAAGTGCAATTTATTCCCATCCAGCTCCATTTACCCAGCTTCCCACTAAGAAATAAAGGATGATTATGGTGGTTGGAGTCCTGTGTCTTTTCAGTTTCGGCTTCCCTAGAGTTGTCCTCCCTATCTCAGGGGGAACAGGAAAAAGGATGATGAGAAACCAACAACTTAGCAAATACAGAATTTAATCTCCAAGGTAACTATGACCCTGCAAGCTATTCTTACTGCGGGACTCACCTTAAGACCTGTATGTTTCTTGGTAGATAGCCAGCCTTTTAATAAATGGAATGAAATTCAGTCAGCAAGTCTGGCTAATAGTATTAATTGGAAAGAATGGTTTGCCCTTCCCAAGTCTACTAAAACGTGTTCAACGACTCAGTACACGTTCAAGGTGGCTTGCTCAGCAGGTTGTACGACGGGGAAAAGGCATACAAATGAAAACCTAAATGATGCTTGAGACTGTTTCTCAGTCTGTGCCCTAGTGATGAAGAACACATAAAATGTTTCTTAATAGACTACTGCATGCATGGAAGCTGAAGAACTGGAAGATTCCAACCCAGAAAACCTGGAGATATACTACTTGAGAGACACGGGGTTTGGGAACAGTACGAGATAGGTCCTTCTCTTGAAGGAAGAACAAAAACAGGCAAGTTAGGAGAGATAGGCTGAAAACAGGCAATGAAGAGGCCTTAAACTTCTTCAAAGGAATTTAGAGTCTATCTTGAGAGTGAGATATACTCTTATGTATTTTTGGATGTGAACCTAGCCTTTAACAGCTAAGCCATCTCTCCAGCCCAGGCTCTATATTGAGAACAAGATATACTGGGAGTGGTGGTGTGGAAGCAAAATTTTCCACGTGGTGCTAAACGGCTATTGAGGTGAAGGTGGTCACAACTAAGTATGAATGGCTGTAGTTAAGGCAAGAATGGACAGAAATGTGATCTAGGACAGTAGGGCTAGGAAGGAGGGACCTTCTGGAGGAAGAATTACTTGCAAAGGTGGCATCATTTGGACTTGGTTAACTACTTATAGGGAAAGGATATGATCTTGAGTCTGCTTGCTAAGATGACAGATTCCCTAGTCTGGCAAGGTTGACTCAAGAAGGAACACTTGGAAGCCCCCTTAGATGAGTGTCCACTGACTGGCAGAGGCCTAAGTGTGTGGCTAGTCTGCAGAGCCTTCCACATATAGAGGCTACAGCATAGGCCCAGGAGACCTGGCCATGAGGCTTGTTTGGAGGACAAAATGTCCAAAGTGAATTCAAATTATTAAAATGACCTAGCCCTATCCAGTGTCCAGGAAACTCCCGTTTCCAAGCTGAGTCTAAAACTCTAACCTGATACATCCTTTTTGTTTCTCATTACCCATCATTAATCATCATTAACCCAGAGCACATGCTAAAAATAGAGTCCCAGATCCCATCTTGTCTGCTAAATCAAAATCACCATGACTGGATCCATATATGAAATTTCCAGGGTGATTTTTGTAAGCCAATACAGTTTCGAGTGTCCTTCAGCTTGGAAAATTATAGTGAATGGTTGTTCATGAATTTGCTCATCTGAGGATTGGCTGCAAACTCGTATCTTGGTTATTTCATTTGGGTATGCTATCTCATCAAGGTGATGGGGTCACTGAACAGGGAACTTACACAACCTTGATGTTCCTGCTTCTACAAGACAGGAAGTAGAACTATGTGTTGAAAACCAGTGATTCTCAACCTTCCTAATGCTGTGACGTTGTAATACAGTTCCTCAGGTTGTGGTGACCCCAAACATAAAATTATTTCCTTCCTAGCTCATTACTGTAATTTTGCTGTTATGAATTGTAATGTAAACATCTAATTGACAAGAGTTGATATGCAATCCCCAATAGAGTCGAGACCCTCAGGTTGAGAACCACCGGCCTAAACAAACACTCTCTGCCTTGCTACACTGGGAATGTGTTCAGTGAAGTTATGGTGATGGTTTCCAGGACAGAAGCTGACATCTTATAGTAATTGATGACCCAAACAACCTCCAGGCAAGACATGTAGCTAAATATGAGTAAAACTCACAGATTTGGCCTCTGTACTGTTATCAAGGAAGTCTTCCCTCACAGCCAGGGAGAGTGTTGCTTGGTCCAGCTGTTAAAACAAAAAGAGAAAGAAAAAAATAATAAGACAGACAAACAGAGAAAGCATGGCATGGACATTTGAAATGGTTGTGTAGCATGTTAACAAGAGTCATGGGCTCCCTGGCAGCCCAGCCATATTTTGAACATGTGTCACCGTCACAAGAATCCCTTCACTCCATTCAGAACTGCATGCAAATAGGCACTTTGAGAGACCTAACATATCAGAGACCTGTCCCCTGACTTGCGGATTTGTGCTATCGATCGCTGAGGTTTTGCCAACACTCAACAGTGCAAGGCTATTTGAGTTGGAATAGATATTAGAGATTATCTGACCAAAGCCAGAGAATTTATGATTTTTCCCAAGCTCGTGTGGCTGAACAGAGCTCAGAGTCAAATTGCCTTCTGTTCCCAGATCCACTACCCACATCACCGAAGTGCTTTGCAAATGCCCATCTGGCTGGAGCTGATGCATTAGGCTTTCTATAGCCCACCTCAGAAATAACGTTTCTTTGTACTCACAAAGAATGAACTGACATTCTGGAGAAATCTTTGTGGCTGTTAGAAACTTCTCTGAAAATTTAAGAATAAGTGATAGAAGCACAAATAATAATCAGACAACTTTAATCAAGTATTTTATCCCCTTTTCATACATAAAATCTATATAAAATTATAGTTCTCCATCAAAATCCCCTTTACATGCAGCAAAGTCTATAAAAGGTCAAGTTATAGTGGTGCCATTATAAAATTTGAGGAAATACACGTATTGTATTTTTGAGTAAAATGTATTCAAGACATTCTTGTAGCCTGTGTACATTGCTAATTGGCCTAAAACAACCAAATCACAAGCCATTCTGGCTTTATCCTCCTGTGATTCCTAACCTGCCATTGTTTCTTCCAAAAATGAAGTAAGCCAGAACCCACAAAGCAAAATATTTTTATGAAGATGCTTCGGCTTTCAATTAAATTTGGATCCCTCAGCAACTCTTGTGAGTGCCAGGTTCAGAGGAAAGGAAACTACACAGATAATATCAAGAAAGTCAAAGGTTCTTCTCACAAAATGAAGTTAAACCCACAGAAGGTAAAAGTTTGGATAATTCAAGTGAGGTTGTCCGACCTTTCATAAACCTTCAGATTGTTACAGTTTCTTGGGAACATTTTAAATATACCAACAGATTGAATAAGGCCAGCAACTAAATCTCATTAGAAACACACAAACTCCTGAGGCAAAGTCTTTCTCAAGAAACCCCCACAAGTAGACGGTATTGCTCTGGGTTTGAAAGTCCTTGCATTTACAATATGAAGTTTTCAGTTTCAAAAGAGAAGAAAATGTTCATCCAAGCACTGGAGAGGTACATGGACTGGCAGCTCAGATCAGTCTGGGCTACAGAGTTAGTTACAGGATAGCCTTGGCTACATTAAAAAAAAGTATGATTTTAGAAAATCAGATACATTGAACTGAAAATGTGATTTTTGTCCAATTATAATTGGCATGCCAATTACAATAAAGTGTTTTAGGGGAGAAAGTAATAATACAAAAAGAAATATCTGAAAATTACGATATAGGAAAGGAAAAACAAAACATTAGAGAAATTACATTTCTAAGAGAATTTCTCAGGTTGGCATCATGAATTTTGCCGAAAGCCAGAAAAATGCAGGTCATTGAGTCATAATGAATTTGAGTTGTCTTACACTAGAACAACCCTGACCCTCCACATAGTCTTTCAAGATCACACATCCCACTTTCCATGGTTCCTGAAATTCTTACTCTTCCTATCACAGGCTTAAGACAAGCATACGCACAGGCTCTGAGGCAGTATTTTAGAATATGGTTTTCTGTTGTTTCTTATAATTTTATCTCCCATTGAAATCTACAAGTCTCTACCATCTTGACATGGGAGAACTTTTCCAAAGACCAATACATGGGCCAATCATCTGCATATCATTGAAAGGAGTGCGTTTTTCTCCATCCAGAGGCATCATATGCTCTGCTAACTGTAAAGTGGGCCCATGCTCGAGGTCAAAGACGAGGCTGTTTCTTACACAACCCAGGTCAAACCGGCATGCCAACTACTCAAAATGAAGAACAGCAGTGTTCAAATGGTCCTGATGGGCCATGGTTCAAGAGAAGAGAGCCTCTCCTCATGTGCCACCGTGAACCAGTATCTGCCACAGAAACTACCAAAGTTCAAGTGAACTAAACCAAATAGCCACAACGACAAGTAAATAATCAATTAAACAACTAATTAAACAATTAAATCTTTTACATGTAATTGATTAGTGTACATCATGTGTACATGTGGAAGTCAGAAGACAACTTGCAGGGAAAGTTCCCCTCCTTCCAGCATGCGGGTTCCAGGGACTGAATCTACCACATCGCAGGCCTGTTGGAAAGGGCTTTTTCACCTGCTGAACCGTTTCATGGGCCCCTAGAAATTTAAACCTATCAAAACAGCCAACGCATACACGGAAGTTCTAGAACATTGGTAGCCACCAATACACGAACTTTGTTGTCAGGTTCATTAGGTTTCATACAGATCTCAGAACAAAATCATTCCTGCTATCTCTAGACACATGCTTCAAACTGGTTCATGACTATGAAAACTGCAGTTCTGCATTGTTTTGGGGAGGAGGTTAATTCAGATGTGTGAAAATTCACTCACGTAATTTGGTACAAACAGGATAGAACTAAAGCCAATGTGAGCTGCACTCGGATACCAAGCAGTGCTTAAACACTTCAGTTTCGAACAGGCTGCCACCTTGGCAAAAGAAAGCAATAATAAGTGTGCAAGTGACTTCTTACATTTGGAAAGCATTCCATTATTGACAGTGTTTCTAGGACCAGTGTCATTGAATATTAAGTGTGCAAGGCAAGCTGTTACCATCTTCCTCTGTCTCCCTTGTTTTTCTATAAACTGGCACTAACGGTAGACACTGTACTTGCTTTAAAGGATTTATGTTTTGTTTCGTGTTTTGGGCACATGTATTTGGTGATGGTGTGTTAACTACTGACTGGTATCAAGAGGCATACAATATCTACTTTTTCCATTTTTAGCAAGGCCACCATTGATAGTTGATTTCCAGAGGCCTCATTCCATGAATTTCCCACACATTCACCTGATCATTTTAGTAACTATTGATGATAGTTCCCTAAATCCACTGGCTCTATGGAGATTTAAGTAGTAGTAATCTAACCCTTTTTTCTCTTGATTTATTTTTATTTTTAGTTACGTGTCTGTGGGATGGAGAGACATCTCAGTGTTTAAGAGCACATACTGTTTGCTCTTGCAGAGGGCCTGAATTCAGTTCCCAGGATCCATGTTGGATGGCTCAAAGCCACCTACAACTCTAGCTCCAGGGAATCTAAGGCCTCGGGCCTCCAAGAGCATCTGCACACACACACACACACACACACACACACACACACACACACACACACACATTTCTTCTTCTTCTTCTTCTTCTTCTTCTTCTTCTTCTTCTTCTTCTTCTTCTTCTTCTTCATTGTCTCTCTCTTTCTCACACATATAATTAAAATAGCAAAGATAAATATTTTTAAACTATAACTGTGTTTATGTGACTGTATATATGTGTAGATAGGTATTCAAGGGTGCAAATACTCAAAGAAACCAGAGAGGGCATCTCAATGTGGAGTTGCCAGCGAGTTATGAGCCATCTGACATTGGTACTGAGAAACAAACTCAGGTCTTCTGCAAAAGGACTACGTTCTCTTAACTACTGAGAATCTCTTGAGTTCCTCTCCTGAATTTCCAAGCTGTTCTTCTCTTACAAGTGAGAACTTTGTCTCATTGGCTATTCATTTATCCTGAAATCAATCAAACCCAGATTGTGGAGAAAATATATGGGAGAAATAATCCACTTTCTTTAGCAAATAAATGTGGTTTAAAAAACAAAGAGAAGGTGATGACTGTTGTAGATTAAACTGGACTTAGAAAGTGCACATGTGATTGATTCTTAATTTTAACCTCAATCAAAATGCAGCTGTTTCTGGTTGGGGTTTATTAAGGACACATTTGGGGGACTGAAGGGTATAGCTTGATTGTAGAACACTTGCATATCATGCATGAGGCCCTGGATTCTACCCTCACCAGCACAAAAGAAAATGTTTTATATAATCAGAAAAATTGAAAACTAACTGTATATTAGATGTTAAGTATGGTTTTGGTAAGAGTCTTGTTATTGTAAGAGTCTTTTTTATGGTCTATTTAACTTTATTTTATATACATTGGTGTGAAGGTGTCAGATTCCCTGCAACTGGATCTTCAGACAGTTGTGAGCTGCCACGTGGGTGCTGGGAACTGAACCCAGGTCCTCTGGAAGAGCAGTCAGTGCTCTCAACCACTGAGCCATCTCTCCAGCCCCTTGTAAGAGTCTTTTATATTAGCTCAGACAATGAAATATTCACAGTGAAAAGATACGTTTTAGCTATGCTATAAAATATTTTAGCCTCCAAAAAGGAAAGGTTTAAATTTGATAAAAAAAATAGCACAAAGTTGAGGGTATTGATGTTAGGTTCATAAATACATAGGTGCTTATTGCTCATTTTCATTTTAAGTGGTAGTTTTCTTCATGAAAAAATATTAGAAAAAATAAGTCAATTGTTTGTCTAAGTCCAGGAATGGGTGAAAAATAAAATAGTTACCATTTGCAAAGATGCATCATCGTGTGAATCAAAATCATCCACCACTCCACAGAGGGTGTAAATTACATATGGACGACAGTCTCCTTCTTACTTTGAAATAACATCTAAAGTATTTGGAAGACTATCATAATAGTCCTGTAATTGAGAATAATCGTCTTAAAATCTGGCTTTAAACATCGAGTACTCCATCCACATTGAAGAGGGGCTGATTGAATTGCACCATCATTGTGTCTCACATTATGAGATGGCTCAATAGCATGTTGCTACTTCATCATCCAACACAGACACACAGCTGCCTCTGGAACTAAAACTTTCCTTCTGAGTGAGAATCCTTTCAACAACCAAAGATTTTTCTTGCCACCTATCACTGTCTACACTTAAGAGGTCAGGAATCTATAGTTTTCAGGCCAGCTCGTCACATACTTCATCTAAAGCTGCTTTTCCAGGTACAATGGCAAAGCTCAATAGTTGAAATAGAGACCAGATGGCTGGCAAAACCTCAAATATGAACCATCTGTCCCTTTATAGAAAACACATTGCCCACCTCTTACTTAGCTCAAAACAGAAGCTCCGTGGTTTTGATTTTTGGAGAGGTGGCTTATGTTGGATGAGGAAATATGCTAAATAGTTTTATTGTCCTACAGTTTTTATATTGATATATCATTAATATGTTCTGCTTTGATGAAGGGCAGCTTAGGGTAGAAATCAATGTTCAATAGCATCATTATTTTTCTTCTATGGAAGAACAAACACAGCAGGGTGAATGCATAAAATGAGTTGGGAAATGTTATTTGAATTCCTACAACCCCCTTTCATTGATGAATCTTTTGTGGTCCGTAACTTTCTGACAACCTCCTAATTTCACCAATGCAATCCACCTCAGGGCACAGCCAACTGCTCCCTGCCTTTATACTCCTTCTCCCAGCAGAAAAAAAAAATGTGCTTAGAATAAGTTCTGCTTTACCTTTTGAAAGGGAGGAGGACAGATTCAGATTGAACTTGACAATGGGGATGTAGGCGTGTGTGCAAGTTGTTCCTGAAAGGGGAACAAGGCATCTGGCATGTGTTGCCCCTTCTGTCAGAGGAACAAGGAGGTGAGGGAAAGAGCAGAGTTCAGAAAGTCTTCTGTTATCACGGGAGACCCAGAAACCTCTCCCAGCTGGAATTTCCATGCTCAGAGAAGCCATCTGAGAGTGAGAACAGGGATCACTTGAAAGCCACACACAGGGTCACTGAAAGGCTGGCAACATTCTACTAATGATCTACACCCTGCAAATCTTGGACTTCTAATGATCTACTCTCTGCAAATCTTGGAGCAGGGCATAATTCTAGATCCTAAAGTTCAGCTGAATTTTTGCCTCACCATTTCATTAAGTCAGCATGAATTTCTGCCTTTAGGAAAGCACCCGAACTGGGGATTGTAGCACAGTTGGCAGAGTGGTTTCCTAGCATTCATGAGCACTGCATAAACATAGCATGGTGATACAAACCTGTAATCTCAGTACTCAGGAGGTAGAGGCAAGTGACAGGAGTTCAAAGTCACCCTGGGGTACACCACAAGCTTGAGGACAGCAAGGGATACTTGAGGATAAACAAAAAGAAAAAGACACCCTAAAGGGTTAATCTTAGCATGAACAAACAGCCTTGGCTATACCTTCAAGATATGTTCATTGGACGCCTTGTCATCGGGGGACACATACAAACGGATGAACACAGAATTGCTGTATTGGCCACGGAATGTTGCAAGCGTTTGCAAGAGGCTGAATTTTCTCTCCGACCAAACCCCTTCAGGACCAATATTAGCTTCAAGCACAGGCCAGCGGAAAGGTGAATGCCGCAAGATGTGGAGCAGGGGCTTGGCGTCTGCTTTTTCAATTGCTTCTGAAAGGGAGTGGACACAAAGGGCAAGTTAGAATTGTAAACTAGAAGCCAGGTACCATGACTCATCCCTCAAGTCCTGCACTCGAAAAGAAGAGGCAAGAAGATCAGAAATTCTAGGTGACCCTCAACTACACAGTGATTGCTCAAAGCCAACCTGGGCTCCCTGAGACCTTGACTCAAAACACTGAAAATGAACTGCAAACTGGATCACCAAGCTAGAGTGCAAATGTCTCTTCTCAACCTGCTGGATGTTCTCTATAATGAAGATGGGCTTACTTGCACAGACCCCTGCCAGTGAATGAAATTAAGCCAGTGGTACTTATTATTGGCACCAAGGAACAACCCTCATTAACAATAGGGTTCAGTTATGACAAGGATGCCCCGGTGAATAGTTGCTTCTAGCATATCAAACGATATCCCCAAATCCTACCGAAATCAACTACCACACTTTCTGGAAGCACTTGTTTCAACTCTGGAATGGCCTTGAAAGATCACGTTGAGGTCTTTGTCTCCCAACGAGAATGCTAGGAGGAGCCTGTCATGCCTAGAAATCTAAAGTTCCAGTGGCTTCTATGGAACATAATTTTCCTAAGTATTTGCCCTCTCAGGTTTTGTCTGGAGCCAGAACTGGCCTGGCTATGGATTCAAATTTATTTTTTTACTAGATACAATGAGTTTTTCCCTGCTGCCCTATCTAAATTTCTAATATAGGAACTGACACAGAAATAATCCAGTCACAGAGAAGATCATTTTCTTGAGGCTGGAGAGATAACACAGTTGTTAAGAGCACATGCTGTCCTTGCAGAGGAACCGAGTTCAGGTCTCCACACTCATGGTGGGCAGTACACAACAGCATGACCCTCCAGCTTCAAGGGCTCCTACAGCCTCGCCTGGTCTCCATCTGCACTCACGCACTCAAGTGCACACACCCACACACATATACACACAGTTATAAACATCAAATAACAAAATCAAAATGTCTTTAAAAGATTATTTTCCACTACAACAGTACAGATTCTCTAAGAAAGATTCATCAAAATCCAGTCTTTGAGACTTTTTATTATTTTAAAAAAAAACACCTTTAAGCATTGATAGAATTTCAGTTTTCTCTTCCTTAACAATGCCTTTAAACATTAATAGAATTCTGAGGGATAAGGATCATAAATATTTATTTTCTTTATTACTCACTCTCATTCATGCAGGATGAATAAAGGATTTTGGCTTTCTGTACGGCTTCAATGTCCCGCCTTCGACTGACTGATTTCTCCAGAAGTGCTACGAAGGTGAAAATAGAATTCATTAGTATCTGCCTGTATACGATGTCAGATTGAAGGTCAGCCTCCAGAAAATTAAATACCAAGACAGACAACTCTGGAGAATACCAGGAGTGCAGACATCAGGGAAGATTCCAAAGCTACTTGAGGTCCAAATAAAAACAATTGAACATTATTTTATCCAAGGTTCTCCTAACTCAAAAGAAACTGAATGTTCACCAGCCATCTGAGGCTAGACTTTCTGCAGGGGTTAATTTCTGCTGCCACCTACACAAAAGAAAGCTGACTTCATTTATTAAAAAACCAAAAATAATTCAGTCTGTTGTTTCTGTACCAAACAATACTCTCAATGGAGGCAATTTCATCTGGGTTAAGTTTCTTACCATTCTTTTTTCATAACTCAGCCTCTCAGGGAGGTCACCCGGAAGAAAATTTCTCATTACAAGTCTTATTTGGTATTGTATAACATGTACATGAAAAAAAGTTCTCACAACAGGAAATAAAGAATCAAGATTGGAAAGCCTACCCAAATTGTCTGAAAATGTGCCCATTCCCACATGCAAAGTCCTGGAGAAGCAAATGAGGTCATGTACAAAAACTGTTTGCCAGACCTTCTTGGAAAATTATTTTCTATTTATAAAATCATTAATAAGATTGTTTGAAGGTAAAAAAAAATGGTTGTTGTCGCTCTTCTTTCACATAAGGAAAGAAGAAGGCCAGAACACAGTGGAAACAAATTTCTTCTCAGGGAAGGGGGGGGGGGATTGCACTTGACTTGAGAGTATCAGTTTACCTTCACGAAGCCAAGTTGATGAATCCCTAGGGTGGACTGTAGCCCCTTTGGCCCTGCCTATTTCCACTATGTAAGACGGCTTCTGACAGGAAACACACTTGAAATCCTCCAAAAAATCAGCGGAAAAGATGGTTTATATCTCTCCCAAAGGCTTCACGGCACAATGTACAATGCTAATCAATTTGATAAAACACACACACACACATTCCAAGGACTGACATCTAAACCATAAGTTCCACATTCCAAAAACTGCAATCCAAAGTTCTTGTCCAGGGTATTTTGTTTTGGGTTTTTTTTTAATATATTTTATTGTTTCCATGTGTCGCTGTGTGTCTTTGTATGCATGTATATGTACTTGTTTGCAAGGGCCACCAAAGGCCAGAAGAGGGGTCCCCTGGAGCTAGAGTTACAGGCAGTTGTGAGCGGCCCATTGTGAGTGCTGGGAACTCTGCCAGAGCACCAAGCATCCCTCACTGCCAACAGTCTCTCAAGGCCTACTTGGCTTTTGTCTCTATGAGAACCGGTACATAGACCAAGCCCAGGATACTAGACAGAGTCTAGCAAACTAACCTCTGGTTGAAGGTGAACATTTTCAACAACTTGTTTGGGGCTTCTTGTGTATTGTCACAGCAAGAAACATTAGGAAACTTGCTCCAGAAATAAAGGAGTTTGTTTTGTGGGGTTTTGTCTTTTTCAACAAAGTTCTCAAACCACATCCATACATTCTTCATTCAAGCCATCTTACATGCCTGTCACATTAGACTGTCACACATTAGACTGTCACATAATGACTTTCTGTCATTAGACTATTGGAAAGACACATTCAGAAGTAAATAATCCACATTTCATTGAGGGTTCTTAGTTAGGGTTTTATTGCTGTGAAGAGATACCATGACCATGGCAACTCTCATAAAGAAAACATTTAGTTGGGGCTGGCTTACAGTTTCAAAGGTTCAGTCCATTATCATCATGGCAGGGAACATGGTGGTGTGCAGGCAGACTTGGTGCTGGAGGAAAAGCTGAGTCCTACATCTTGCAGGCAACAGGAAGTAGACTAAACACTGGGTTGGGTGATATCCTCAGCATAGAAAACCTCGAAGCCAGCCCCCACCGTGATACACTTCATCCAACAAGGCCACACCTCCTTAGTGCCACTCCCTCTGGGGGGGCCACTTTCTTTCAAACCACTACAGGTTCGGATGAGGTTTCAGTATTATAAACACCCTGCAGGCTGCAAACATGACTACCTGAAGGGCCAAGAAAGAAGCCATAGGAGCAAAAATAAGCACCAGTCTTTAATCAGTCCTAAAATCCTAACCATGCACAAATACCAATAATTTACCAATAATTACAAATACCAATAATTTACACTGGACAAAATTCTGGTTTCTGTAACAGAATTTGGCTTTTCAAACAGATTTAGCTGATGCTAGGTTCTTTGTCCTATCCTTTGTCTTCTTCTCTTGGCTTTCTCTCTGTATCAAAACAGACGGAGAAGCACTGCTATGCAGATAGTGATGTGGCAATCAGCTCCCAGCACTATTTTCTTTATCTCTGCATGTGAATTAATCAGAAGAAGAAGAATATCAAGCCTGGAGAGTATTAATAAGCAGAAAATAATACCTGCCTATCACAGGCAATTATTCAAGTTATTAAAATGTCTCCAAAATGTGGAAAGGTCCCATAGGTCACCAACACAGGGCTTTTCCAGCATAGCCGGTGTTGTTTAGTGGAAGATTTTCGATGCTTCCTACTCTTTCCTATAGGAAACAAAAATGCCAATTCATAGAATCTTAAGACAGCCTACATCAAACTTCACATTTGGCTGGAAAAAAATATGTTCTCCTCAAATTATCTTAAAACTGCATATAGGAAGCCAGGTAGTGGTAACACAAGCCTTTAATCCCAGCACTTAGTAGGCAGGTGAATTTCTGTGAGTTCAAGGCTAGCCTGATCTACAAAATGAATTTCAGGACAGCCAAGGCCGCACAAAGAAACCCTATCTAGAAAAAAAAAAAAAAAACAACAAACAAACTCAAAACAAAAAAAAAAAAATCCTGCATATGGGAAGTATTTTTCTCCTCACTAAGATCAAATAAAACTGGTTTCAAAAAATAAGGCGGCTAGGTACAGTAGCTCAGACTTGTCACTCCAGCTCTAGGGAGACTAAGACAGGAGAACTCCTGTGACTTTTGGGCCAATTTGAACTAAAGAGTGAAAAACATATCAAGATAAAAGGCTTCCAAGTCCCACAGACATGAGCTCCAGTTTCAGTTCGCTGATACCTCCTAGCTAGAATGGAGGCAAGTTATTTAATGTCTCTAAGGTTTTGGCATTTTTGTCTGCAAATTTGGATTATACTATACACCCCCAGGGTTGGTGACGATTTTCAAACTTTAATGCATCAAGAATTTCTAGCTCAGAGCCCAAACACATGCTGAAGTCAGTGGTGGCTGGGCTGTGGATGCAGCTCAGTTGGTCGGGCACACACCTAACATGAAAGAAGCCCTAGGTTTAACATCAGCACAGAATAAATTGGACATGGTGGCACATGCCCGTTCTTTCAGGACTCGGGAAGTGGGAATATGAAGATGGAAACTTCAAGGTCATCCACGGGTACATAGCAAGCAAACTGAGAGCCTATCTCTCAAAAAAGACAAAACAAAGGGGCTGGAGAGATGGCTCAGAGGTTAAGAGCATTGCCTGCTCTTCTAGAGGTCCTGAGTTCAATTCCCAGCAACCACATGGTGGCTCACAACCATCTGTATTGAGATCTGGTGCCCTCTTCTGGCCTGAGGGCATACATGGAGGCTTAACACTGTGTACATAATAAATAAACAAATCTTTTTAAAAAAAGACAAAACAAATAAACAAAAACAAAAACCTAGTAGCTTAATCTGGATGACAGACCAAGTTAACCATATCAAAAAGTGGATTGTTATCAATCTTCCTACTGTGTCGTCTATAACTATTTGTACTTTCCTCCTCCTGTTTCAGGTGTGGTGGCTATCAAGATACTCCCTTTCTCTGCATTGGATGCTTTCTCAAAGACCCCGCTGTAGACACTTTGCAGAACTCTGCGGTTCTGCGCTTTTCCTCTGCCTCCATAGCACAGAAAATGCCGGGTAGCTATCTGTTAGTCATTAGTGATCTCAAAGCTGCTTGGCTTATGTGCTTCATCCTGGACAGCAAGGCCCTGTTTTTCCAAATACAAACATTTTCAATCCAATTATAGTATGTATTCAACAGAAAATGCCCAGATCATAATTTGAAAAAAATTCTGCAATGTAAACACACAGAAGTAAGCGAGATTGTTACCAAAATCCCAGAAGCCCTACGGTCGCTTCCTTATCACTGCCCCCAACCAGGATTCTGAATGGATATTTTTGCTTGGTTTTGTGGCCTTTCACTGAACCGAAGACCCGGTTATGCTGAGCAGTCTTCTGCTGAGCCTCACCTCTGCGTCCATTGTTTGCTCAACTCTGTTTCACAATACTTGCATAATTTAACTTGTTCTTTTGATTTATAAAAGATCCTCCTATAGTCTCCACATCTCCTTTTTGAGGACTGACAAAATCTTTTCCCATTCTGTAGTTCTTATTTTCTTCCTGGTATCTTGCGATGAAGTGAAATTTCGAATTTTAATGTAGTTCTATTTCTCCCTTTCTCCCTCTATGATTAATTCTATTTGTTATTTTTTTTAAAATCTACCCCCAAATCAATACAATGACCTACATTTTCATCTAGAATCTTCATTGCTTCATATTTATACCTACAGCCCATTTATAATTTCTTTTTGTCCATGATGTGGACAACCAAGGTTGGCCTTACCGGGGATGAATCACGAAAAAGGTTTAATAAGTAAGATATATTGGTCAATTCTTCTCAAATGATATCACCAGATACATTTTGGCATGAAAAAAATGGCACCGACATTCTTGGTACAGCCGCAGCTTAGCTCTTTCGCACTGGCTCTCTCAGCCTTTCCTTTCAGACCATCTCCATCCCCTTGTATCAGTTGCCTATTCCCAGGGACCCCAGTATCCACACTGAACTGTAACTCAGGTAGGTTATGCTCACTGTCTTTCCCACCATCCCTTAAATTGTTTATCTCCAAGGCTCCTCTTAGCCCTATAGCAGCCTTCTTGCAGGATCCCTGCCTCCCAACACACCCCCATTCCCTGAGGACTCTGCCTCTTGGTTCTGAA